AGCACACAGCCCTGTGGGACACCGGTGTTCAGGGTTAGGGTTGAGGAGGTGTGGTTGACTAACCGAACAGATTGAGGTCTGTTGTTTAGAAAGTCCAGTATCCAGTTGCAGAGGGAGGTGTTGATGCCAAGGTTGCTGAGTTTGGTGATCAGACCGGAGGGGATGATGGTGTTGAATGCTGAACTGAAGTCAATGAACAGCATTCTCACATAGGTGTTACTTTTATCCAGGTGGGAGAGGGCGGAGTGTGGCACTGTAGAGATGGCATCTTCTGTACTCCTGTTCTGGTGGTAGGCGAATTGGAGGGGGTCCAGTGTGGGTGGTAGGCTGGTTTTGAGGTGAGCCAGGACCAGCCTCTCGAAGCACTTCATGATCTCTGGTATGCGCCGGAGATCGCCAATAAAAGTGTCCAGGTTATGAGTTTGAATGTCCAAAAGTTCCTGTCGGCTGTAGGAGATGTATGCAAGACTGTTCTGAGTGAACAGTCCTGAAACAAAAAGGCAGATAACTACTAATTTGCAGAATCTAGAGACGCTGAGCCTCGCATTGCACACGTGCCGCCATCTTGATGTAAATGTTACCTAGAGAGCCACAATTTTCTACAAGCTTGATCTGTGTGCTTATCATGAATGGAAGACGTTCTTCAACACCCCTAGTGAGCAATATGAGTATCTAGTATTGCCATTTTTGCCAACATTCACAGTTGTACCTGTTGTTCTCTTTGCCTGGTTTCTCAATGGATCCTACCCAGGTGAAAGCCATGGTTAACTGACCTCAATGAACATCAGTTTAACTGCTCCACTGGTCCCCCCCCCCAGTCACCATAGCAGGAGTGCAACTGCCGGTAGTCATTGCTAACAGAGCTAACCATGAGCAGCTCCTGTCAGACTCTTCGTGTCCATGCTGGAAACACAGAGAGTTTGCTGGAAGTTTGATCACATTTACAGCTCAGAGAGGCTAACTCTCTGGTGTCTGAGGCAGAGTGTCAGGCTACCACTACGTAGCCACAGATGTGGGTCTTATAGAAGCAGGGGTTGGCTGGTGACAAAAGCTGCTAGAACATACGGCACCTGCCTCCAGATCAACCAGTAGAAAAATGTAATTGTAATATTAAGCAGAGGGTTGAACTGGCCTGGTAAAAAGAAACTGGTCCTAGAAGTCTGCTAACTGTCTCTATGGTCCTGGTTCTGTCAGGTCATGCCTTTTAGTGTGGATATTCATCTGATCTCACCTGCCATCCTGGACACACCCATGAATTCCTGCTGAGACCTTTTTGGTGGCCCACCATGGACGTAGATGTGCATTATTTCGTTCCCCCGCACTTGTGCAAAGAATAAGACCACCAGACATGCAGGGCCATTTTACTTCCTTAACTAAGTTACCCTCTTCTGTGGAGACCGCTGAGCTTCTGGTCCAACATATCAGGGATCCCAGTTTGGTGCTCATTTCTGGAGTGTCGTTCAGCTCCTTCCCTAGGTTTTATTGCCAGTCTGTCTTCAGGTTCCCACCTGCAGATCAACGGTCTGATGGAGCATGCTAAGCAGGATTTGGAGACCAGCCTGCGTTGTCTCGTCTACCCCTAACCCCTCCTCTTGGAGTCAGCAGTTGACCCAGGTGACATACTCTCATAATTCCTTGCCTTGTTCTGCCACAGGTCTCCTTTTGAAGGTGTCTTCAGTTACAAGCCAGCTCTTTTACCATTTCAGAAGAAGGAGGTTAGTGTTCCATCTGCCCATTCAACAACCACTGTTACCAAACCTAGAGAAGAGCACATTACAACCTGTTTTGCAATCCAGCTCCCCGTTACCAGTTTGCCACCATTTCAACTGTAGGAAAAGGCTGCGTGCGCATGTATACACACACACACACACAAACACACACTATGGCCTTATAAAGTTGCTATGGTGAACATGTCAGAGATGTCTTGTTCATACATGCAGCAGACACACAGTATTTATTTTAATTCCAAAATGCAATTATTGTGGCTTATGGTCTATCCTATAGAAAATATTAACATTACACATTTCACTCTCTTAGTATTGAGCATTTTGTCACCATAATATTGACTTTATATTAGATAAGATTAGATTCAACTTTATTGTCATTGCACAAGTACAGGTACTAGGCAACGATATCCAAGTGTGGTGTGGCTGAAACGTTATGTTTTAGATTATCAAGAGAGAAGGCGTGTGTTTCTACCTCAGAACTGGATTTAGAGCTATGATTTGCTGAGCTAGCAGAGGTTTATAAAAGCCATGCAAAACTCTAGTGAAAGTTCATGCCTGCAGTTACAGATTTCAGCCAACCCACCAACAGCTTTCAGGGAAAGCTTGACTCATACCCAACATTGTGGCCTGTTGGCAGATTTCAGAGTTTCAGTCCAATACTCTGGGTGCTGCTGAAACTAAACAAAATACTTTTTCCTGTACTATTGTTTATCTCTACACGTAAATAAATGTTCTTATTATACAGCAGCTGCCCGTAGGCCTTTTTGTGTGGGCATTTTATTTCACTAAAATAAAATAAAATGTATTAGTTGCTTCCCCAATCATTGTTGATGACAAAACAGTTTTGGGGGTGGATAAACGTTTTCGGCTTCTGAGGGGGGCATGACAGAAAAAGTTTGAAAGGCAATGCATGTTACAATAGGTATTTTTCTTATTTATTCTTTCTTATAATGAATTTAAATGTTAGTGTGATAATATTGTCATTCATTCAGTTTGGTTTGTGCTTGGGTGTAATATTTTTTTTAGATTCTAGGACAAACTTTAATTTTACTAAAGTTGATCATCACAGGAAATAAGGAAAAATTAGCGGTTGTATATTACTAATGTAGTCCATTCAATTCTCGACAACTTGTTTAGTAAAAAAAAAACAAAAATCCACATCACTTTACACATTTTTCACACATTGTATGAATTTAAGATGTGTGCAAATTTCAAGATAATCTTTTGTCTATAAATTTTAACCACACTGGAGACATAATGTTTTTTTTCTAGACAGCAGAGATAGTCATCCTTGCTCTAAACATTTATTTTTCGA